TTTCTTCTAGTTCTGCTTTTATGACAAAAGTTCATCATACTAGTAGAATATTCAAAATATATAATAGAACAGATCCTAATTAATAAGCACCAGAGTTGCACCAGAGCCAACTACATACACACACACACACACGCATACTCATGTGTATATACATGTATATATTTCTATGTGTATATGCATGTGTGTGTATAGTTTATTAACTGGTTAATGTAAGTAAAATGATCTAATTAGAAAAATGAAAATCAAACAAGAGAAATAAATATAGTAACATACTGAATTTTAAATTTTTGTTCTTTGTATTGACTACCTATTGTTAATTTAGCACTCACTTAGAATTAACTCTGGGATTTTGAGGGCAGATGAATCAGTAATTTGCCTTTCCTCCCACAAAGAGTGGTGGTAACTTCAAAAGCTTCAACAGACTTAATGATATAATTTAGTTCAGGACAGGAAAAAATATATGTAGCCAACATATTTGCAAAGATGACTTTCTTGTAGAATTTAAGATTTCCTCAAACATTTCACGTAAAACAGGTTACACTTTCTGCTGGCTATATTGTAGAAATATTAAAAGCAACATAAANTCCAGGTGGGCCCGACGTAATTGCAAAGGTCCTGATATGTGAAAGAGAGGGGCAGGAGCGTTGGAGAGAGGCAAAGAGGAAGAGCCCACAGATCAAGGAATGCAGGCGCCTCTAGCAGCTGAGGAAGGCAGGAGATGGATCTCCCTGAGAGTTGCTGGGAAGAAACACAGCCCAGCTGACACCTTAATTTCAGCCCAGTGAGATGCATTTCAGACTTCTGACCTCCAGAATTGTAAGTCAGTAAATCTGTGCTGTTTTAAGGCACTAAGTTTGTGATAATTTGTTACAGCAATGATATGCCACCATCTTCTCACCTTTAAATTGTGCATAGTAATAATACCCAACTTCTGGGGTAGTAATAATATTACTTTTGTTAGTAACAGTACTATTACAGAGTAGAGTATATAAGTTAGTACATATACTAATCTTAGAGCAATGACTGAAACACAGAAGGCAATTCATAGATATGAGATCATATTCATCCAAATGAATTTTTTTTTTTTT